CTGCAGAGAGATCATCCATGAATTGGCTTACAGATATGGGAGCATAACTGTGAGGAATGACATGACCAGCAGCAGTAATGGGCGAACAGTCCAGAATGGCATTGCTCTGCGGCATAAGCCTAAAGGCTAATGAAGTCCTGTAATGGTAGAGAAGTAAGCCTTCTTCTATTCTATACAGAATTCATACCCCACCCTTCCCCCTGTCATCTGTTTCTTAAAAAAAAGGGGTTGACAGAGGATAACCATATCCTACATTAAAATACTAGTGCAAATTCCGTTTGAGTACCTTCCAACACAACCAGTATTTGAGGAGGTATCAGATGCTGCACGATAGGTGGAAGCAGGACGCAGGCCTGCCGTTGCATGACTAAGTGCCTTTCCTGTCAGTAATAAAACAGAACCAGAACCTATCCCACTATCTGCCAGGTACCATCGACCGTTTGGATCACAGACCTATGAAGACAAATAGCTGACAGAAATCATTTAAAGACCACAACTTATAGAGCAGGGAAGCAACAAAATCAACCCATCAACATGGCGGGAAATCTTAAGCTAAATTAAGAAAACAAATAAGCTGCACAAGCAATTGTAAATATGTAATAATTGAAGGACAACATGCTGAAGTCAAAAGATCTGGGTGCCCATACCTGCAGGCCAGGAGTATCAGAAGATATCAGAGTTAACAAACCCTTCTCATATTCACCATTGATAGATGGCTTGCCTCCTCCAATAGCCCCTTTTCCATTTTGCATAGGAGAATGGAAATAGGTTGCTACAAGAACTGAGGAGGATGCCTCATTAGCAGGTAGTGGGTTATCATCAAGAAGTTGGCTAAAAACGCTGTTCAAAATAGACTATCAGCTATTAAGCAAGAGCAGAGGAGCCATAAGATTAAGAGCCAAAAGAACAGTGAATAGAAGAGCCAAAGAATATTATCAGTAACATACTCGCTGCGCAGACGGAGGTGCCTAGCAATAGCACACAAAACAGCACGCGCAGCTTTACCCAGGCATCTAAAAATTTCAGCCATACATGGAGGAGATGAATCACTATCTTCCAAAGCCCTTCAAACAAAAGCTGATGGAGTGTCAATTTCTCAATCGATAACTTAGGAAAAATATGCACAAATACATTAAAATAGGCGCATCCAACACAATTAATAAAGGTAATCATTTAAAAGTTGGATATGAAAAAGTCATCCAAAGCAATGTCATTCTCTCACCCACTGTCCTGAAACTGCTGACAGCTTGACTCAGACAATTTAAGTCTCTACCATAAACATTGTCCAGCTCTACGTTAGGATAACCCAAGAAGTCACATTTACCAGGAACTTGTGAGAATGCCTCTAGGAGATTTATTCTCCCAAGAAACTTCAAAAACAAACCCAAAGCCCACAAATCTGTCAGGAATACTTTGCAAAATTTTGAACATCCACCATCTTAATGCATTTGTTTGTAATCTTTGCATTATTCCCTTGCACTTGGTTCTTAGATTATAAGGAATATCAGATACTAAAGGCAACCACAGCATCACGCCTTTGAGCTTGAAAGCATAGATGGTTTAGAATTTAGGATGCCAAGTTGCCAAATATTTGTAACTTTTCACTACACAGCTATTGTAACTTCCTGTTGCCAGCTTACTGTTGTATGTTGCACGGTTGCACCCAAAAGCAGCTCTGTTTCCCCAAATTAGCATTGTGGCTCTCCATATTTCCATACATATGATGGAAAACTGCTGCAATATATCATTTCCAGCAGCTTGAAAATTACTCCTACTAGACCTATAATCTATACTACATTGGGAAAAAGACAGCTGAAGAATGTAGATATGACGGTGTCATTTGAGTCTAAGCCAAACCCACAACATCATTAAAGGGTGGGAAATAAAAATTGAAGGGCATTTGCGAATGAGGTGGTTGTTTGATTGACAACAAAAAGTGAAATAGGGGAAAGTAGATATTTTTCATGGGAATTAAAACTTCCCAAAAAAAAAAATTGGGAAATAAATCAACAAATTTCCCTTTGGTCAATCAAAATTCATAAGAATTTCGATTTCATTTGATGCCAACCAAACAAGATAAAAATCCTAGTTGCACGAGGGAATTAATTTTCCATGAAATACAACATCCCAGAGGTGTTTACTTCCCATGTAAGACAAACAAGCACTAAGAATACAATCTAACAGGCAAAGTATGCATAGAAGGTATGAAGTTCATTTGAGGTCTCAAACCATTCTGTTCTTCCCTAAGCTTCAACAAAACCGTCGAGAAGTATTAAATCCCATCAACAACAACAATTCAATTGAGGTCCAGATGTACACTGTTTCATCTCTAATTTCTTAATTGTCCAAAAAGCTCATATTTCTTAGAGTCATCCATTCATCCTGCCCTTTTCTCAATTAAGTTCACATTTTCCCACCTAATTCCACTATAATCCGAATAACAGCAACAAAATTAATAAAATAAAAACACATACATACATCAATCTAATAATCCAATAAATAAAATGAAGCATTAATTCAAACTAAATTAGAGAAATTAAAAATAAATAAAAAAAAGAACATTTTTTTAGAGCAAAAGCAAAGATACCTTCCAGCCCTATACATGTAAACACCTCTACTTCCTTTCCCAACAGTTCCAGCCCTATTTCTGAAATACAACCTTGCTGACTCCAACCCACACCTCATGATCGCGGCATCGTTGCTTCCGAGCTCAAGAACCGCGGCATTATACCTCATTAGAGACCCAGAAAGGGCCTCCACAGCCTTCAAATAACTCCCACAAGGCGCCCCATCATAGGGGGCGATATCCGAAACCCGAACCCTCGCCGGAACAACATCCGGGTGGAAGGAAGAAATGGGAACAGCATGGTCAGCGCGGTGGGAGGAAGGAGGAGGGGGTGGTGGAGGCAACGAGGTACGAGGCGATAGAGTCAGCGGAGGAGGAGGTTGCTGACTATGGTGATGATGATGATGAATTTGTGGGTTGTTGTTGTTGTTGCTGTTGTTGTTTGTACTATTATTGTTGTTGTTATTGTTTTGAGAGAGTGACTGAGACATCATCATCATCACCATTAACAACAACAACAGCAGCAACAACAACAACGAAACGAATAATCTGCGAACAACATTTACAGTTCACTCTCATTATTTTAGGGTTTTACAGGATGATTCCGTACAAAAAAAAAAAAAAACAAACTAGGGAAAATTACAAATGGGTTCAAAATTGAACCATTGAATAAACAAATTTTGCAATTTTGTGTGATTGTTTTGTAAAATAAGTATGTAATTGATTTAAATTAGCTAGTTTGAAGCAGAAAAGTGGTCCAAATTTAGGGGGGATTTCATTATTTAAAGAGGGTTTTTGACAAATTAAGAAAAAATGGTGTGTTGTTGCTCAGTATACGAGGAAGCAAGAAACTGGTGTAGAATACAAGAGGAGAGAGAGAGTGTGTGGAAAATAGGAGCAATTTTTGGTTTTAGTTGTCAGAAAGTCTGAATGTTTAAAGCACTTCATAAAGTTATTTTCAAGATTCAAGTGTTTGTGACTTTGGGCCTTTTCATTAGGTTTAATTTCAATTCAGTTCGACTTTTAATTTTCTTTTTTCATAAATATTACTTTCTCCGTTTTTTTTACTTCATACGCTTTGACTTTTACACTATTCACCATATCTTCTTTGACTGTTTTTTGTGAATGATATGTAAAGAAAAATATATTCATATGATATCTTTTTAAATTCGTCTCAATAAGTACTATCGTAATACAGAACTTTTATAATTTTTACTTATGAAGAATTAAAGTTATTGATCGCTAAAGTTTTGCATTGGCAAGCGTGATAAAAGAAACAGGTCAAGTAAAAAAGAACAGAGGAAGTAGTAATTTATTTTAGTTTAGTTCAGTTCAAATCAGTTCAGCTCAGTAAATCAGAACAGACACTTTGTGTTGCTTTGTTAACAATAGTCAAAATCTCTTGGGAGAGATTTTGCAAATTGTAAACATTTTCTATAAAGATTCACTATACTCAAAATTCAAAGTCAAAATCTTTATATAAAATGTTTACCGTGTTTGAGGATTTAGTATTCTGAAGATTAGTGGTTAAAAGTTGCAAAACCAACTCTCTTAGGGCTCTTTTATATAGGTTTTGGTAGTACTCGTAGTAATTAGTTTTGAATACATAAGCCATAACCTTTGTGAATATTGGAGGAAATGAAAACTGAATCATGGAGAAAGTTCATTATATAAATTAACCAATACAAAGTGATGAGAATTATAGCGGCAAATATTAACCAATACAAAGTGATGAGAATCATAGCGGCAAATTAAGGTTGAGAGAGTGGGAGTTTGACACTGAGGGCCTATTCTTATACGTTTATTTTCATTTCAGTTCAGCTCTAATAAGTTCAGTTCAGTTTAGCTCCTAATTTCCTTGTTTTATAAAATATTCATTTCACTTCAGTTCGGCTCTAATAAATTCAGTTCAGTTCAACTTCATAAAATAGGCCCTTAATTCTTATTGGCTTAAAGCTATGTAAAATTGTAAATCATTTTCCTTTATTTTTTCTCAAAAGTTTTGTTTGGTTCTTAACAGAGTGAACACCCTATGACCCTAATATCATGCCACCCAACTTTTATAATGTCTTTGTTAGTGAATATTCATCATTACTCCGTACTAAATTTTAAGTTAACACTTATGTTCATACTATGATTATAATCTGTCCAAAAGATTGATTGTATAAAGGTTCAAGATTTGGTTCCCAAATGAGGGTGAAAATTGAGTGCCATGATGATTAACATAGAATGCTGTAATCCAACAATTTTTAAACATATTTCAATTGACATCCTATATACATATATATGCTATATAAAACACACTATTAGATCAAAGATTTTGCAGCTAAACAAGGTGAACATGTAACTTCATCATCTCGACCTCATTTCCTCTGAGGGCTATTCCTTCCACAAAAAAGGGTCACTCCAATGCCTGACCTGTAAGTTACAATTCTTACAAAAACTCATTTGTAGATCCATTCTGCCATTCATTTGAACGAGCGCCAGACTCATCCATGTCTATGAATATGCTTACAGCCTGCATCATAACAAGCAACAGATTCTGCCTTAGTTTTCTTTAAATACTACTCCGTATATTAAGTGAGCTTTGCAGATTCATTCTTAAGATGACTAAACCATGCTCATGTCAGCTAATTTATTGAACATGAAGCCGGCCAAGCACTTTCTGTCCACAACCTTTGATTTTACAGCATTAATGTTCAAATGTATGTTCATATATTGATGCATTCAAAGAGATTGTCCTTGAGTTTATGTTGTTACCTTTCCAATTCGTGGCGGCTCCTTCGACTTTGAGAGGCTGCTTCGGATATGTGAGACAGCACCCCAACATCTCAAATTATTTGCCACATCGTCAAGCCTCAATATGTATTCTTCAGTCAATGGAATGATCTCTGAAATGGTAGTACACAGATAAAAATACTGATAAAGCATTTAGACGACTTTGCTAACTTGCTAGGTTTGTGGACTAGATTTATAAAAAGATACTCTAAGCTTTACGCAAACTAGTGCCATGCCAACCAGCTCTTAAGGCAAAGGTAATACCGTTGGACATTTCCTGTAACTTGGTTCCAGTGTTCTCACTTGGGCATAAGAAAGAGAGAAGCTGTAGCATGTTTATCAAATTAACAATACCTCCATCTTATTTTCATGATTTTTATACCCACGCTTAAGGCCTACATTTGACACTTGACAATAGCATATACATTCTCCAAAGCTCCAGCTTAATAAGTACACCTTGTCAGAACTCATCTAACGCAATGTCAACCATTAAGAAAATAAACTTAAATAAGTCTAAATAACTATATACAGAGCAAGTGGATAAAACTAAAATTAGAGGCAAGAGAGAATTAATACAATATACACTATACAATTTGCATCACAAATTCACAATATAATTTCAAGTGATGAACTCAACCATACATGCTGCTACAAGACATCACCCCGCAAACTATGACTCTATAATGGTAAGAAGATACATTATAGAGAGAAGCGAATTGAAAACCGGCCTCAAATCTCATCCCTTCGATTGCGAAGGGAGGATGACAAAAAAAGCTGCCGCATTTAAAAGTTGAAGAAATTCTCCACATACCTGCTCCCTGTACTTCCACATGACATTCATTGCAAGCAGGTTTCTCCCCATGAACTCCTGCACAGTGATACAGAAATATAACAATAGAATCTAAAACAAACCAGTTAATATAAACTTAAGAGAAGAATGCAATGAGTCAACCCAGGGTATCTAGTTCAACAAGTTGAACAAGCTGATCACTCAGTCTAAATGGCGAGGAGCTGGGGAAACTGTAAACTAAACCATGTACAGATGAATGTGATACAAAAGGAGTTCATCAGCTTGATTAATGTAACACCTAGGAAATAGTATTTTCATCAGTGGACAATTGAATAATTTGATGAATGAAAGAGTGGTGATATAAAATTTATTGTGCTAATCATATGTATACTAAAAACAAGATTCTAATGACCGATTTGAGGCAGGATACTTAAAGATACATGAACACCTTTGGGAAGAGCATGATAAGTAGTTCAAAGTAGACAAGATAAATACAAGACACAAGAACAAAGCCTTCTTATGAAAATGAACAAAAAGGGATCTGCTAATGAAAGAAAGGTTTCCATACATAAAAATGAAATGGATTTTTAAAAAATTTAAAAAGAAACAGTCAAATTAGCAAAAGGAAAAAGATACCTTCTTTCTGAGTTGTACATCATAGGACCTTCCATATTTGTTTCTTATAATAGCTGCAAGGTCTGCCCCTCTGAACGTAGAATCATCCACTCGAATAATTCTTTCCAGATTGTCCCTATAACTGTCACTACTTGCCTGAAAAGTGAAGCACAAAAGGACATATAATTTAGCCATTTTTACAGTATGGATCAAGAAAGGCCACTAAAAGTATATTTAGACATGATCGTCTATATGGTTGAGATCATAGAGAACAAAGCATCCTACATAGGTAACATTTATTTTGTAGAGACAAAACAAACGCTGCCTTAGTGCACACACTTTATAGTCCTGATGGCTATCCCTTCATCCCCAATACTCTTTGCTGGCCCAACAAAATTCACCCAAGAAAATCATCATCATTCCTTCCAAATTCTACATGGCAATGCAAATGCAAATTTTGTGTTCAGTAATCAGCTAGGAGAGAGATAGAGCACAGCTATTAACATGCTTGCTAAAATCTGGGAGTATGTATGCCCAATGAGGAACCATCTATGGTGATGCTTCACTTCTCTTTTGTCTTAAACTTGGTCTGTATGATTTACTACTTCCTTATAATAATCTAATTTAGGTGCTCCTTTTCCAAAAAAAAAAAAAAAAATTAAATAAAATAAAAAATGCAGAAGAGCTTTGAGGGTTTAGGAGAAAGAGCTTTGAGTTTGGATAATCAACTTACATGGTAACTTCTCGGCTAATCTGGAACAGCTAGATTCCCCTAAAACTTCTACACGAAAGCTAAAACATGCCTCAGTAAATTCAATTAATGCATCTCCAGTGAATGGATCAAAACTCAGTAGATCCATGTGTAATTACATAAAATGGTAACATTGACCCCTTAGAAAAGTAAACAAGACTGGTGTTATCGATCTTAAATGTCCTGTCCTGTTGTACCTGTACTGTGGCTTAGATTTAGCTAAACTTGAGCTCTAGTTCAGTTAATATTCAAAGGCAGTTCATAAAAAAACAAATGCAACTTACAGGCAGACAGCAAGCAAGCACAACAATTGCATACAAAACGTACAGTTAATCTACTTTGTTTCATATGTTCCAAATCCCAGGCAATAAGGTTATTTTGCCTACAATCAATTAAAACACATTATATATAGACTTATAAATAGCCAATTCACAACATTCACTCACGATGTTTGTTTTCTCAGCTGTCACAGGCTCACAGCTGATCACATATGATTTAGTCATCGCTTACTCGGTTCTCAAAAACGTTTTCAGCAAATCCTTGTCTGCATCACCAATATTTGGATCAGAGAGTAAGCCCACAAATGATGATACAGTGAGATTATCAGCAGCAAACTCTTTGATTCTCATCAACCTGACAAGCTCTAATGCTCTCCTATAATCCTTTCCATCTATAAATCCTCTAACAATTATATTAAAGGTGCATTCATCTGGAAAGCATTTATTGTCCTCCATATTCTTCAATAATTCATCAGCTTTAGCTAGGAACCCTTCTTTACAAAACCCTTTTATCATTATGGTATAAGCATGCACATTATGCAGCCCTTTAGTTGTGAGAAAGGAGAAGATGTCCACTGCTTCTCTAAGGCGCTTAGCATCACACAAACCATCCATCAGGATACAGTATGTAACAATATCAGGGACGACTCCAGTAATCTTCATTTGCTTCATTGTTGTGATTGCCTCATCTATTAGTCCATTCTTACACATGCCATCAAGCAATGAATTCCAAGTGATTACATTTGGCTTAAGTCCGTGAGCTTCCATTTCCTTGAAAAATTGGTGTGCAAGCTTGAGCTGATTGACTTTGCACAAGGCATCTATAAGAGTGTTGTACGTGATAACATTAGGGGTTAATCCATTATATATCATCTCCTGGAAAAGACCAAGAGCTCTGTCAATCATTTTAGACTTGCAATATCCATTAATTAAGCTGCTGTAAGTAACAACATTAGGTACGCAACCATTGTTAACCATCAAATCCATAAGCTTTTCTGCCTCATCCATCTCCCCACGTAAACAAAATCCATCTAACAGAGCTCTGTAAGTGATGATATCGGGAACCAATCCTCTCTCAATCATGTGAACAAAAATGTCCTGCGCTTCACCAACCTGGCCATCTTTACAATACATGTCAATCAACATGCTGTAGGTCTCAATGTCAGGAGATATGTTGTTCCCCCACATCTCAGTCAGCATTTCTTGAGCTTCTCTCTGTCGCCCCAAAGTGCACAAACCTCGATCTATGGTAGTATAGGTGACAACATTAGGGGAAATTCCCTTGACTTTCATCTCCTTGAAAAGGCGGAGAGCCTGAGGTAATAACCGGTCTTTACATAGGCTATCAATGATGGTGTTATAAATGACAACATCCGGCATACAATGTCCATAAGACTCCATATTTCGAAGGAATTCGAGAGCACCAGCATTATCACCGGACCTACACAGACCTTTGAACATAGAACCATAGGTGACTAATGTGGGTTGGTATTTGGTAACCAAGATTGACAACCTTATACAACAATCGAACGGCTTTATCCAGTTGATTAGAATGAATAAAACCATCAATCAGAGTAGTAAAGGTGACATTATTAAGTTGATAACCAAGTTTAATAATGTTGGCAAGAATAGAAAACCCCAAATCAACAAAATTCAAACGACAGTAACAATTAGCGAGGATCGAAAGGGAATAATCATCTTGACGAACACCCAACAAATGGAGCTGCTTAGAGAGAGAAATGACAATGGAGAAAGGTGGGTGTGGTTTAATCTTCAACATAGCACTAAATAATATACAGAAATCAATGATACAAGGAAGAGGGTGAATCAATTTCATATGATCAAAGAGGGAAAGGGGGATTTCAACATTAGTAAACCCTAATTTGGATTGTTGTCTAACAAATTTTAGAAACAATTTGGGATCATCGTAATAATCATCAACATAATTATAACGAGTAGCGTAATTGCGGAAAAATGGAATCTGAGAATGGAAATTGGGAAGAAGGGGAGAGAGATGGAGAAGGTTACATTCGTGAAGACGAAGAAAAGCTCCAGCAAAAATGGCGGATTTGCTCCTCATATTGTCGTAAAATGCCTTGCTGATATCAAATTACAAGCCCTCTATTAGGAAATATATGATAGAATCTACAATAATATTATTGTTAGGCAAGATATATTTGATATATTTGCTAGATATTATGAAAGGATATTATTGTGTTTCCTAGTTTAAGATAGATGGTTCCTTGGGGCTCAAGGTCTTCTTGTATAAATATGATGATCTATGAATGAGAAAGGCAAGCTATTGAATCATAATATTGTCATGGTATCGGAGCCACGACCTTCTTCATAAAAAAAATTTTAACACCGTACACAATGCCCGGCGATGACAATCCACCGCCACCACCAAAGATTGAACCTAACTCCTCGTATTATCTAGGATTCCATGATCGTCCTGGTGACTACATTACCTCCCAACGCCTAAAATTAAACAACTTCAATGATTGGTCTCATGCAATTTTTATTGCTTTGTCTTCCAGGAGGAAATTTGGATTCCTGGATGGTACGATCACTCACTTTGCTCCACCATGTACGAAGGATGACTGGGTCACGATCCAATGTATGCTCGTGTCTTGGCTCATGAACACGATCGATCCGGAGGTAAGGTCCATGCTATCGTACTATGACAACGCCAAAAAGCTTTGGGGTGATTTACATGAGCGATTTGGTCTTGTTAATGGACCACGGATACAACAAATTAAATCCGAAATTAGTCGGTGTGAGCAAACCAAAACAATGCCCGTAGCAGTCTACTTTAGCAAGCTCTCAGTTTTATGGGATGAACTTGACAAGCATGAGCCCTTGATCGCTTGAAAGTGTGGCAAGTGTACTTGCGATGTAGGAAAGCAGCATGCAAATAGACATGACGGAGACCGCCTCCAGCAATTTCTTCTCGGGCTTTACTCTGAATATTATGTCGCTCTTCGCTCTACCCTTCTATCCCAAGATCCTTTACCTTCCTTGAACCGTGCCTTTCAAACTATTGCCCAGGAAGAACGAGTTCGAGGTATTGCAACTGTCAAGGACGAGGCCTCAGAAGTTGCTGGGTTCGCTGTGAGGATGGAAAATAACTCCAAACTTCGTCTATCTCGCGTAGAGAGGGCAGCCTTGGTGTGTACCTTTTGCCACAAAAAGGGGCACGATGCTACAACTTGCTTCGATAAGCATGGTGTGCCCCCATGGTATATTGAAAAATACGGATCGAAGGAGGATTCTCGTGGGACTGCTCGTGGCAAAAGCACCCCTGTCAAAGCAAATGCAACTCCACCAACTATTGTGCCGTCATCCACCACTGCCTCGGCTTCCTCTCAATTTCCGCACCTCACTCCCGAGCAGTGGCAAGTCGTCATGGCTGTTATGGGTAATGCGCCACCCCCTTCTCACCGCTTGAATGGTAAGTGGATTATTGACACCGGATGTTCTCACCACGTCACCGGAGATTTCTCTTGTTTATTGGACGTTCGTGATGTTCCTTCATGTAATGTGGGTCTTCCGGATGGTACTAGTGTGAATTGTCATGAAAGAAGGAGTTGTAAAATTAACAGACAAAATAATCCTTCACAATGTGTTTTTTGTTCCTAAATTAAATTGTAACTTGATTTCGTTTTCACAATTGTGTTCTACTAATAATTGTGAAGTCATAACTAACTCTAATATATGTACTATACAGGACCAACGCACGAGGGAAGTGATTGGAACGGGTGATCTCAAGGATGGACTATACTATCTTCAGGAAGAGGCTTCTATTGCGACTATTTCGGTTGAAGACACCTTGAAACTGTGGCACAAACGGTTGGGACATCCTTCTGAAAAAGTTGTAAAATTACTTCCTTTTCTTAGTAATTCTAGTGCTCATTTAAATAAAGATTGTGAAGTGTGTCATCGTTCTAAACACACTAGAGACAAATTTCCTATGAGTGATAATAAAGCTTCCCGTATTTTTGAAATAGTGCATTGTGATTTATGGGGCCCTTATACCGAACCTTCATCTTGTGGTGCACATTATTTTCTGACTTTGGTAGATGATTACTCTCGTGCCGTATGGATATATTTATTGGTTGATAAAACTGAAGTTTTTAAAATATTTATGTCCTTTATTGCCATGATTGATAGGCAATTTTCACAGAAAATAAAAATTGTTCGTAGTGATAATGGACCGAATTCTTTTGCTTGAAAAATTATTTTATAGCCCAAGGTATCCTGTTTCAAACTTCTTGTGTTGGTACACCTCAACAAAATGGGAGGGTAGAGAGAAAACACCAACACATTCTCAATGTTGCCCGTGCCCTTCGATTTCAGGGGGGTTACCAATATACTTTTGGGGGAGTGTGCACTTGCGGCGGCTCATATAATAAATCGCACACCTTCGGTACTATTAGGCAATAAAACACCGTATGAAATGTTGTTTGGCACCCCACCTTTATTTAATGAATTACAAGTGTTTGGTTCTTTGTGTTTTGCTCATAACCAAAGGGCGAAAGGGGATAAATTTGCAAGCCGTAGTCGTAAATGTATATTTGTGGGGTACCCTTTTGGGAAGAAAGGATGGTATTTATTTGACTTGGATAAAAAGGAATTTTTCGTCTCCTGTGATGTGCGTTTTTTTTGAGGATGTATATCCTTATTTGGATGCCGAAAGCACCAATATTAATATAGCTACAGATGGTATGAATGCTACAATAAATATGGAAGAAAATATGGAGTCTTTTACTCCTATTTTCGACAGTGATGAGGGGCAGACTATGCAGCATCCACCGACTGCCCACACCCCTCACTCACTGCCGCATCCCACCACCCCGCCACATAGCCCTGCCACGGCTATCCCTGACACGCCAGCAGTACGGACAGCAGGTGGGGAGGACACCACGGCACCCGAGCTAATGGGGCGTGGTCACCGTCCGAAATATGCAAACTCTAAATATAGAGATTTTGTCACTCATACTCATGTAGCTCGAAATAGTCCATCCAAGGCATCACTCAACCCAATTTCTACTCCTCCCTCAGGTATGTCATATCCTATAGCACATTATGTTAGTTGTGATAAGTTTTCTGCAAAACACCGAAATTTTGTTGCAACTTTAACAGGTGGGAAGGAACCACGATCTTTTAAAGAAGCAATGCAAGACCATGGTTGGAAGATGGCCATGAAAGAATAAATGCGTGCCTTGGAGTCCAATGGCACATGGACCTTGGAAAAATTACCTCCCGGGAAGAAGGCTCTTGGAAGTCAATGGTTGTACAAAATTAAGTACAACTCTGATGGAAGCATTGAGCGATTGAAAGCAAGATTAGTTGTCTTTGGAAATCATCAAACCGAAGGCATAGATTATGATGAAACTTTTGCTCCGGTGATCAAGATGACCACGGTCCGCGCATTCCTTTCCATTGCCGCCTCTAAAAATTGGGAATTGCATCAAATGGATGTTCACAATGCATTCCTTCATGGTGATTTAAATGAGGAAGTCTACATGAAACTTCCCCCGGGTTTCATCACTGACGAGCCGAGTCTTGTTTTCCGCCTTCGGAAGTCTTTATATGGCTTCAAGCAAGCTCCTAGATGTTGGTTTGCTAAATTGACGTCGGCCTTGAAAAAGTATGGTTTTACGCAATCATACTCAGATTACTCCCTATTCTCTTATACAAAGGGGTCGGTGCAACTTAATGTTCTTGTTTATGTGGATGATCTAATTGTGGCAGGGAACAATTCTATGGCCTTGCAATTGTTTAAAAATTATTTGAGCAATTGTTTTCATATGAAGGACTTAGGTGTTCTCAAATACTTCCTTGGGATTGAGGTAGCAAGGAGTAGTACCGGTTTATTTTTGTGTCAACACAAATATGCTCTTGATATCATCTCAGAAACCGACCTATTGGGGTCAAAACCGGCCATGACACCCATCGAGCAAAATCACAATTTGGGGCGTGCTTCCGGCCCTATGCTTGCTGACTCGGAGCCATATCGAAGGTTGGTCGGCCGTTTAGTCTACTTGGCTGTTACACGGCCAGACTTGACGTATGCGGTTATTGTTCTCTCCCAATTTATGCAGGCACCGCAACAAGTACACTGGGAGGCTGCAATTCGTGTTGTAAGGTACTTGAAAAGTACACCAGGCCAAGGAAGGAATTTTACTGCGCGCTGATGGTGATCTCACACTTGAAGGGTGGTGTGATGTGGACTGGGCAGTGTGTCCCATTACGCGCCGCTCTGTCTCGGGTTGGCTGGTCTTCTTGGGCCACTCGCCTATAGCTTGGAAATGCAAGAAACAACCAACGGTGGCCACTTCTTCTGGAGAGTCCGAATATAGGTCCATGTGCGCCATCACTATGGAAATGAAGTGGCTGAAAGGACTACTCTTAAGCTTGGGCGTGCAACATCCTCGTGCTATACCAATTTTTTGTGATAGTCAAGCGGCCATTCATATTGCACAAAACCCGGTTTTTCATGAGCGTACAAAACACATCGAAGTCGATTGTCACTTTGTCCGTGATGCAATACAAGATGGTCTAATAATTCCACATCATGTGCGCACCAATGAGCAACTAGCGGATATTTTTACAAAGGCCTTAGGAAAGCCTCAATTTGATTACCTTCGTAGCAAGTTGGGCATCTTTGATCCAAGTGCTCCAACTTGAGGGGGGGTGTTAGGAAATATATGATAGAATCTACAATATATTATTGTTAGGCAAGATATATTTGATATATTTGCTAGATATTATATAATCTTATCTTAGGAAAGGATATTATTGTGTTTCCTAGTTTAAGATAGATTGTTCCTTGGGGCTCAAGGTCTTCTTGTATAAATATGATGATCTATGAATGAGAAAGGCAAGCTATTGAATCATAATATTGTCACCCTCAATAACTTCTTTCAGAAATTACTTTTAGTAGTTTGAAAACAGAACTTTAAGGTGAGTAATTTTTATCAAATGCTAGCGCCCAATGCACACTGTAGATAAGGCTGTGCACCAATCCAAAATCAGACGAACTTGGAATTGCCTATTTTTTGCGGATCGGGGATCGGACCGGATCATAATCGGTGGGGCAGGGTTTCATTCTAGACCTGCTTATTTCAATCCAGTTCGATTTTGGATCGGAATGAACCGGTTATATCTTTATACATACATCATTTTTTAACGTCTTGTTTTTATTTGCGTGCTTTCCTATTTTGTACCTGAAATTTATAAATTACAAATTTTGTACCTCAATATAAAATATAAAATTTTCACCCGAAAAATTAAATATAAATTAAAAAAAAAAAACATTTTCGTGTCCGGATCGGAATATTCCTTTTTTTACGGACCGGACCAGAAATCTGGGATCACTAATTTGTGATGACCGAAGACCGACCTAGAATCTAATGGTCCGGTCATGATTTGGTTTTCGGTTTCGGTCCTTTTTTGCACACCCCTAGTTGTAGCTAGTAATTTTTGGGAAACTCTTTTAGTTGTTGGCAACATACTACCTCCGGTCCAAATTACTCGCAACTTTGGAATATTTTATATCTCACAAATAACACCCCAAAGTTGCGAGTAATTTGGACCAGAGGTAGTATATAAACAAATATTTTAGAGGTATAATTATCCAAACACTATTCTTATGAATTTTTTAATTGGAAAAAAAAAACGTTAATGAGGACAAATAAGTAAATAATATTTAAGAGGGTACAATTGTCTAGACACTATTCATAAGAGCTTAATTATTAAATCACACAAGAAAAAGGTTTAGAGACAATTAACATCATATTAATAAGGGGGTATAGGTTAACAAACATCTTTAAGACCAGATATAATTGTACTCACATTATTCATAAGTGTGAAAAGCAAAACTTGATATCCCTTATTATGAAAGTTGGATGGTATGACATTAGGGGGTTGAGAACTAAACAGAACTTTTTGAGAAAAATAAAGAAAGATAATTCAATATAATATATTCTAAGACAAGCGGATCAATGTATACTTTGATATTCATATTTTTAATTTCAACCCCTCGAAATTTAAGATAATTATACTTTTAGAAAATGTACAATGTATTCCACACATCTCAAAATAGTATACGTTTTTTTGGTGCAACCAAAAATAGTATACGTGAACACAAGATTATTAAGTCCGAATGAAAAATACAAGTAATAACTTGAACACCATGATATTCAATTTTCAATTTAAACCTTCTTTTCATACTATGATTAATTGATTATCATCTTTCCAAAAGATTGATTGTATAAAGGTTCAAGATTTGGTTCCCAAATGACGGTGAAAATTGAGTGCCATAATGATTAACATGGAATGCTGTAATCCAACAGTTTTTGAAAATATTTCAATTGACATAACAAATCCTATATACATGTATATGCTATATAAAACACACTATTAGATCAAAGATTTTGCAGCTAAACAAGGTGAACATGTAACTTCATCATCTCGACCTTGTTTCCTCTGAAGGCTACTTCTTTCAACAAAAAAAAGGGTCACTCCAATGCCTGACCTGTAAGTTACAATTCTCACAAAAACTCATTTGTAGATCCATTCATTTGAACGAGCGCCAGATTCATCCATGTCTATGAATATGCTTACAGCCTGCATCAAAACAAGCAACAAATTCATAAGATAACAAAACCATGCTCTTGTCAGCTAATTCTTTGAACATGAAACCAAGCACTTTCTGTCCACAACCTTTAATTTTACAGCATTAATGTTCGTATATTCATACATTGATGCATTCATAGAGATTGTCCTTGAGTTTATGTTGTTACCTTTCCAATTCGTGGCCGCTCCTTTGACTTTGCAAGGCTGCTTCGGATATGTGAGACAGCACCCCAACATCTCAAATTGTTTGCCACATCATCAAGCCTCAGTATGTACTCTTCTTCAGTTAACGGGAATGATCTCTGATATAGTAGTCACGCAGATAACAATAATTATACAGCATTTAGATGACATTAAAAGTTTATAAACAAGAAAAGGCAACAATGTAAGACTATGAATTAATAAAATGATACTCCAAGCTTCATGCAAACTAGTGTCATGCCAACCAACTCTTAAGTCAAAGGTAAAGCGTTGGATATTTCCCGCAACTTGATTCCAGTGTTCTCAATCGGGCATAGAAAGAGAAAAGCTCTAGTATGTAGAAAAGACTGAAAAACATAGCATGATTGGAAATGATCATAATAATGTCATGGAATGAATTGAATACATATAATTTTCTGTACCAGTTTTACTGTTTCCTTTTAATTATGACGCCTGAAAGGACTTGATAAAAAGATGTAAATCTTCGATATTTCCATCCGCATTCTCTCTGCCTTCTGATAATGTATATCCTCCTAACCTTCATGCCCCTCACTGGGAGGGAAGGGGGTAGGGGGGCAACAGAGCCTTTAGAAATGTCACTCTATGGAACATCACTCCATGAAAATCACGTCATTTTTATGTATCTATCAGCAGTTATATTGTCGGAATTGACATTTCACCTCAAAAACAGCATGATAACCTTCCATAAAATCCGATCCAATTTCTCAAACCCATCTTGCACTTCTCCAACAAAACCTCATTTCCAATACATACTCTCACAATACAACTATACATGCATGAAAATCTCATTTTTGCAACTTTTATCTTATGAAAATGGTGATGTGTATAGTTCTACAGAAACCCTAATGAGCTTCAACAGTTCAACCTTTCCTTCCATCCAACTTTGATAAACATTTAAGATATTCTGGTCAATAAAACTATTTAAACTATAACCTTCTTGTTAAAAATTCCTATGGAAATTTTTTTGCTTCCCATTCTAAATTATCATCACTTCCATCTTCTTTTCATGATCTCCATATATGCACCCTTAAGGCCTACTTTATTCTATGCCCTATCAATGGAAACCATGAATTACGCTCCTCATCTCTTCTTACTGCAGAGGTAACTATGGCATTTGACAGTAACATACCGTCCAAAGCTCCAACTTAACATTTACGCCTTGTCAGAACTCATCTAATTCAATGTCAACCATTAAGAAACTAAACTTATGATAGTATGAATAACGATATACAAAGTAAGTAGATTGAACTAAAATTACAGGCAAGAGAGAATTAATACAGTATACGCTACAATCTGCATCACAATATAATTTAAAGGGATGAACTCAACCATATATGCCACTACAGGACCACATCACTCAGCAAGCTATGACTTTATATTTGTAAGAAGTTACATTATGATAGATAGACAAAAAAACTGCTGCAAGTAAAAAAACTTCCACATACCTGCTCCCTGTACTTCCACATGACATTCATTGCAAGAAGGTTTCTTCCCATGAACTCCTGCACAGTGAGAAATACAACAATAGAATCTAAAACAAACAGTTTATATAAACTCAAGAGAAGAATGCAATGAGTCAACCCAGGGTGACTAGTTCAACAAGTAGAGACAAGCTGATCACTCAGCTTAAAAGGCAAGGAATTGGGGAAACTATAAAGTAAAATATATGGGCGAATGTGATACAAAAGGTGCTCATCAGCTCATTTAATTTAACACCTAGGAAATATTGATACTGATCAGTGGACAATTAAATAATTCAATAAACGAAAGAACGGTGATAAGGAAAATTATTGTGCTAATCATATACTTCCTCCGTTTCTATTTAGTTGATGCGTTTGATTTAGGCACATATATTAAGGAGAGGAGAGAGTGAGAGAGAGAATGAAAAAGCAAGTCGGGTAGCTTGTAAATGCAAGGTAAAAATTTACCCCAAAAGGAAACGTGTCAACTAAAAAAAAATCCTAAAAAGGAATACGTGTCAACTAAAAAGAAACGGGGGTAGTAATGCTGAAAACAAGATTATAGTGACCAATTTGAGACAGGACACTTAAAAATACATGATCAACTTTGGAAAGGGCATAACAAGTAGTTTAAATTAGACAAGATAAATTCACGAGAAATGAACAGACCCTTTTATAAAAATGAACAAAAAGGGATCTGCTTAGAGAAGAAAAGTATATCAATACATAAAATAGAAATGGATTTTTTAAAAAATTGCTAAAGAATCAGTCAAATTAGCTGCAAGGAAAAAGATACCTTTTTTATGAGTTGTACATCATAGGACCTTCCATATTTGTTTCTTATAATAGCTGCAAGGTCTGCCCCACTAAAAGTAGAGTCATCCACTCCAATAATTCTTTCCAGATTGTCCCTGTAACTCTCTCTACTTGCCTGAAAAGTGAAGCAAACAAGGACATATAATTGAGCCATCTTAACAGTATGTATCAAGAAAGGCCACTAAGTATAGTTAGACATGATCAACTATTTGGGGTTGGAATCATAGAGTAAAGCAGCCTATGAAGGTGAGGTATTATTTTGTAGAGAAAAAATGATTTAGTGATCCTTTTAACCGCATATAATCACATCTTTTGTTCCAAAACCATCATTAGTGATCCTTTTGGCCCATCATAATATAAAGATATACCGGTTGGCCTTCAGGCTTTGATGATTCCTTCTTTGAGTTTTCATCTTCTGGCTCGACTGGATCATTCATATTTACTGAGCTGGAGCAAACAGCATGATGTTTACCAGATTTTTGACAGTGACTATAGTAGACAAGATCACGGCTTTGACAAAAGCTTGATTTATATGGAAGTAATGGCCCTTTATATCTCTGACCTCTACCTTCACTGAACCTTCCAGTAAAACATTGTTGAGTCCCAGATGACAATATACTGGAATGGGTTGTTGCAATGCTCGTCATGCCTCTGCGAGCAAAATCTTACACTTGAGGATTCAATCCAACAGTAAGCATGCCTAAATATGTATTATGTATAAGCAATATCCTAAATTTGGCTAGGTCCAGGATATTAGGGTAGATTCAGAGTTCAGGAGAAATGATGCTAGTGTCGGACATTTGAACACGTAACTGTCAAAAGCTCAAAACATGGGTACCCAAGTCCCAGGAAATATAGTTACCCCGACTCCCAGGAACATAGGCACAACGACACATTCTAACAAGCGTGATACTTAATGCTATTAACTCTGACTTAAAGTATGCAAATGTAGTTATGCACAAGCCATAGCTCATCTAAAAGATAAAGCATGTTAAAAGCAAAGCACAACAATCTCTGCACTTACTTTCATCTTTATACAAATCAAACAATAAAATCCACATAATAATTCCCTTTCAAAACCTTCCACGTCATAAACGAGAAAATACAGGTTTCTCTCAGTAATAAACAAAAATTGTAATAAATCAACAACTTTTTCATCAATTGGACTCCACCATCCACGGTTGATGGTGATTGGATAAAGGTGTTGATTTAATTAACAAAATGTCATTGGGGCAAGCTCATTATAAACAAACATTTGAAGGCTGGTAATTTCTATAATATATAATCTTTATTTCTCAAGGTTTTCCCACCACATTAAATTGGCTTCTAAATCTAAACATACAAAACTTCACATTTCAAAAAATCCACAACCATGGATGATGACAAAATCCAACCATATAAGACTAATCGCCCTTAAAAGGCTTTGTTCTCTTCACTAGATATTCGCTTATCAAACTAATTCACCATTGTTCTCTTCACTAGATATTCGCTTATCAAACTAATTCACCATTCTATAAAGTATCTATTTTTACTGATTAAAACCGACTTTTATTAATTGAAACATATAATACTAACTAATTTTGTGCCATTATAAGTGTGGAAGTTAAGGAATATTCACCAGATTTTTACTTAACTGAACTTTTTTTTTTTTTTTTTTTTTGAAGAATACTTAATTGAACTGAACTTATCTGAACTTAATAAAACTTATTTTAGTTCTTGGGCAACCCTTATCAGAAGTTATTTTTTCTAAACTGAACTTATTTCCTCAATTAAGCTTATCTTAACTTATTTGAACTTATTAAAGCAAAAATAGCACTACATGTAAATAAAAAGATGTTTAACACTCTCACAATTTCACAAACATCCTTCTTAAAGATTATAACTTGAATCAAAACCCAGATTCCCAAAATCATTATACTACGCATGAACTTAAAAACTTAATTATTAAGCTTACCTAACTGACAAATTCATCATAAATAAATATATACAAAAATTTAAAAAGGAATTTTTTTTTTTTAAAAAAAAAGATTAATACTCCTTCGTATTAGTTAATAAAGAATCAAGAAATTAAGTGTAAGAAAAAATTAATGTTGCGTACCTTAAAAGAGGAAGTTAACAAGAGTTTGATTAACTAGTAAGAGAGAGAGAAAAGAAGAAGAAAGGGAGAAAGAGAGAGAACCTCACATTTTAATTTTCTTTTTAATTTTCTGAATTGAAGAATTTTCAGTAAAACGGTTTTGGACCGTTGATTATGAATTTGGAGTGAGGGTGTCAAAGAAATTTTGGTCCGTGGGACAATTGCATAACTTGCTTATGTGGACTCTATCAAACCAACATATTTCAACTTTTTTTTTTTTTTTTTTTTTTTTGAAAAAATTCATAGAGCCATTCCCATGAATGATGTGAGAAGAGAATAAAATTCCGTAAATACGCTATATTTTAATAAAATTCTCATTGTACCGTCCACGTCAGTAAGTGTAATTATTATTTTTTTTTCAAAATTAAAAACAAACCGCTAATTGAGAATTAGCGGTTTTATGTAATATAAATTTTTATTCAAAGGAGGATTACCATCCAAGAAGAAATAAAATACGAAAAATAAAAAACAAAAATCAAAGGAAACTACCTATGGAGGTACAAAGCGTGGTAAAGCCACACCCCCTATTATCCTCCTCTAAAATACGACTAAGTTCTACCGGCACATTATTAATGAATTCTATTTGAGAGTCTTGAACAACTCCACGGTTGGCCAACCAATCCGCCGCTCGATTGCCTTTACGGTACACATGAGCTACCTTGACTTTCTATCTTGCATCATTTAGCAACTGTTGGCAGTAAATTATGTCATGAATATTTTCACCTCTAGAGACTTCTTTTTTTGCAAAGCTTGAAAACAAGCTATGTTCTCAAGCTGAACTTCCAGGTTCTGTATTTGAAGGTTTTGAGCCATCTCCGGTCCTCGAGTTAGGGCCATAATCTCGGCTCTATATGCTGTGCAATAAGCCAATAACCAAAGTTGGAAGAGAATGCTGACACTAGTGTGCCATTATTGTCCCTAATGAGGGTACCACCTCCAGGCTCCAGCAGGCCCCGGACAACCCTTAACAGCTCCATCAATTGATTGGCTTGCTCAAGTAAGTGGGTGAAAAAATAAACCGCTAATTCAATTAACAATTCAAGCTTTTAATTTTTTTTTTTTTTTTAAAAAAAATCAGATTTATAAAAGATGACGTGAACAGTGTGTCGGGAATTTTATTAAAATGTAGCCTATTTATGAAATTTTATTCTTTTCTAACACTATCTATGGAAATCGCTCAAATTCATCGTAGTCGCATTTTTTTATTGTTTTTTTAAAAAAAAAAAGAATTGATAGTAGTAGTCCCATTTTTAAAAGATGTTCTTGTAAAGTTTTTTTCTATGATTAACATGAAAATTAGAGTTAAACTAGTTTGTGCTCAAATGATTCATGTAAATCATGTTAATTATCTCTTTCTTTTTTTTTTTTTTTTGAAAGATTCTAATAAAGCTATTTTCTAGGTGTTCTTAATATCTAAGACCTTGTTTGATGAAGAGCTTTTAGCTTATTTTGGCCAATTAGATGTTTGACCAATTAAAAAAGCTAATTTGAGTGTTTGGTAAATAGCTTATTAAAATAGCCTTTTAAGCTCAAAAAGCTTTTTTAGAAAAAAAAAATTATAAGAGCTTTTTAAATTTAGCTTATTAAATAATTAGCTTTTTGTCTCTTATATAAACTAAAACAGCTAATAATTAACAACTATTTACCAAACACTTGCTAGTCAAACCAACTAATATAAACAACTAGTTAAATCAACTAATACAATCAACTATATCAATCAGCTATGAACTAATTACCAAACAGGGCCTAAATACCATTAACGTGTTTTGCGGCTTGTTGATACTTCGTATAATATTGGGGCTACTACTTGTCCGAGGACTAGTGCCAATACTGGCAATGCTGCAATACATCATATAGGTGATAATTTCTTATGTAAAAATCACCACCTAAAATTGTAATAAATTGAATTCATCCAAATTTATGACTTAAGATGGCAAGAGGTTTGGAATTCTATGTTCTATGTTAATCACGTTTACACATGTTTGTAACAACCTCGGCATGAAAATCCATAATAACTTAAAGGCCAATGTTGCAGAAAATCGTCTAATTTTCTGTTCCTTTCCCTTTCGTTCATGCTAGGTACTAGTTTTCGGTAGTCTTCCTCGGGTTGCAGACTACAAATTTAGGTGAGAGCCTTCGCCATAGTGGGTGTTATTAATGTTATATCATCCAATTTGACATCAAAACTAACATGTCTCACTGGCTAGTGTTTGCTCACAGTCGCAATGACATCGAGGATTTGCATTCCTTCATCTTCAGGCATACATAAATCATTGTTCCATTTACATACCACATTGACATCTATATCATACAAAACTCCCCAGGTTTGCTCCAAAAGACACCTTGCATACATTAGTCACTGTTCCGTGTACATACCAGATTGTCATCTACGGCTTAAAAAACCCAGGTCTACCCTAAAAGCCGAAAGATATTTTTCTACACAAAGGGGGCTAACTGGCTAAGGCAACAAAAATCTAGACCTTGGGACCATAATTAAGGCAAGGGGCAAGCCTACTCATAATGTGATATTTATAATATCTGCTCACAACTGCCAGTCGATAGGCAATTCCCCATTCTTCTCCAGAATCTGGTTTGTGCGCGAAAAGTGCCTGCACAAGAATTGGAATATAGCAAGTCATTAGCCCATCCCATTCTTCTCTTTTTCAGCAAAATCCAGCACCTTAAAACGTCTACTTCCTCGGGTTAAAATGTAGGAAAACTGATAATAATGCAATTTAGTAGCAATGCAGCAAGCAAGAGATCTGAAAACTGTGGAATCAACAGTAATTAACATAGATACATCTAGCTTCCTTGGCAACTGTAAGCCACCAGAAGGTACACTTTTCATGTAAACAGTAGCAATTAAACAAAATAATAGTATTAGATGCTCCTATCACTATGAACAGAAAGGCTTACCTGCATCCAAAGAAACCCCTATGAGCAGAAAGACCAGAGGGATGAGCTGATTTGAGAATATGGTGCTTAGACTCATCAATCAACCTGTACAATACCATCACCAATGTTGTATCAAACTGAACAGTTCAATAACCCTTACATTTAATATTTTGGGTTTTTCTAACATAATCATAAAAAACTAATTATCTGCTTCAAGAACATTTGAGGTAGGCAAACTTCTACAGAGGAAAAAAAAAAGAGTCCAGATGAGGCAACAAACAAAAGCAGAGGTTGCCAATAAAGACAGACATTATCATGACACTATTCACAGAAGATGCTCAGATAGCTACATATAAAGTACAGAGAAGAATTAAATCAAAATTTAATGAGTAATACACCAAAGAAAAATCACAGTTGACAATCAAGGTCAACACAACTGCACTAAAAATTTGAAATCATGTAGACATAGTAACATATAACTTGCAATAAGATTTATTCCAGATAGTGTAGAGCTAGGAAACAAACCTGACTTTCTCCTGAGCACAATTTCCCCAAAGGATAAATACAACACCTCTTCTCTTTTCAGAAATTGTTCGTATTACTGCATCAGTCAACTGCTCCCAACCTTTCTTAGCATGAGAGTTAGCTTGATGATTCCTAACTAAAAGAGTGGAAAGTATGTAAGTAACACGTCAGAAATACATGGATGGCCGGCATGGCCCATAGGTAACTCATATGGTACATTTTATAAGACCGGTAAATTATAATGAAAAGAGCCCCACATTAAAGCTTTGTAGAATCTGTAGAATAAAATAAATATAATACAGGGAAGATTACCCTGTCGGATGAGGTTTTCCGAAGGTTGCTACAGGCATCAACCAAGCTATCACTTGGTATCATCAATTAGTGATTTGTAACTACATTATTCTGGATTCATTTCTATCAAAATTTTTGATACGAGTCACAAGCAGATTTTTTGAAAAAAAACCATTTAGTTGAATGCATCAAGACAATGGTTACTGGCTCAAGTACAAGTACAAGCAAAAACTGGGTGTGAAGGCTTTGAGCATCAACTGCTGAGAGCCAAACATAAATCTCATCAATTGATATACATTGTTGAAGAGTTCTTCAAATTAGAAACTCCAGAATGCAGTTTCTATCAAAATACTTAAAATGAGGATCATGGAATCCTAATTCCTAACACTGATGGAAGTATGGAACCTATTTACTTTGCTCTCTTCTTGTCATATTTCTCAGTTGTATCATTTCAGGAACTAAAAATGTGCAGAGATACAAAATTAATATGCATTTGTCAGCTAGTCAACTGCTCTACCATCAACTTGAATGGTGGTATTGTACCCGGCACATGATGTTTTATAGCCAGCAACAGTGTGGGAAAGTTTTACTGTGTCTATTCCTACGTATCGTTCTACGTCTACTTACTCTACTATGTAGTTATTCATCAAAAAATCAATTATCTTCATCTTGCCATATATCTGCAAGATTAACAATATCTGAAAAAAAATTTACTTTTATGATGAAGTGATGAATTGTCCCTATTCTACTTGTTGAGGATGAGAATATGATTAAGTAGATGTAGAAATTTAGAACTATTTGAATTTAAATGTAAACTATACTATAGACAATTTGCAATAAATCCTTACAAAAATTGATCAAGACTACTAGGAGAGGGTTTTATCATAAAGGGCTAAAGCAAGATGCAAATCTGATACTTTAAATAAGTGGAGAAGCTCAGCACCAAAAAAAAAAGTGGAGAAGCTAGAACAACAACAATAACAACCAAAAAAAAAAAAAACACACACATACACACACACAGTATCTTAGACTCTTAGAGAAACTAGGCAACTTACCCGTGAGGACCGTGTTGAGCAGCAAAATACCCTGCAGGATTCAAAATAACTTTCTTCAAACCTCTTTTTTTTCGAAAGTGCTGAACATCTTACAGCTATATTCAAGAATTTGCAATTTAATAAACAAAAATATGAATGACTGATCTACGAGTTATAAGTCTTAGCAGTACAAAAGAATAAACATGAAATTTGATAGACAGATTAGTTGCAGATGAAAATCAAGATTAAAGAGAAATAATGGCTGGTATGAGAAGTACTCTTGGGTATAGAAAGAGTAAGCAAAGGCTAATGAGGTCAATTCTAAAAAGCAGGAGAATGCATGGATTTCACATGAATTAGAAGCAAAAAGGCCAATTTAAAGAAGAAATGCAAGAAGGAAAATAAACCAGTACACTTGCCAGAACTATAACCTGAACAGTCCATTTCTCCAAATTCCCATGAGATGGAATAGTGCATCCAAGATCTTGTTTGAGTTCCTTGAATATATTTCCAAGACTTGAAGGAATCTTGATACCCTCAGGTACTGAGAAAGATAAACCCATTGCCTGTCCAGGTCCATGATATGGATCCTGACAAAAATTAAAAAATCTCAAGAGGTATATCTTTTAATGTCACCTTACAAGAAAGTTACGCAGATCATAAAATCACACAGTTCAGAGAAGAAATATAAATGGAGTGATAGATTCAGCCAGGCAAGAAAAACTTCCTGGGATAGAAGAAGCTCAAACCTTGAAGAATTACAGTTTCAAAAAGTTCAAAGATGGAAGATTTAACATTCTGGCAACTATATCTCATTTGTATCTAAGTACATATCAATTGACTCAGCATTAACCTCCTTGTTAGAATCTGAGAGGAAAACAACAATAAATGGATAGCTCTCAAACTGCTTCAGGCCACACAACTCTTTAAACCAAGACATGTTAAGCAGAAATCCACCATAAGTCAGAAGATGATGAGTTGACAACTTAAATAGTCTTATCATTTGTTATGCAGGGACTAAAACAAAAACTCAAAAGGAATGGACTCCAATCAAGCAATAAAGTGAGACACGCAGTCAACAATCAACGAGTACCTGCCCAAGGATGACAGCTTTAACTTTATTAAGCGGTGTTGAGTTGAGGGCATTAAAAATCAAGTTTGGAGGAGGATAAATGGGAACTTTGCCACCACAAATTTCTGTTTCAACAAATTTGCATAGACTCTTAGCATAAGGCTTTTCAAACTCCTCCGAGAGAGTCACCAACCATGAATCCTCCACAAGGAGCTCCTTTAGCTTCACATAGCCATTACCCCCTTCAGCTGATATGTTTATGTACACAATTTCAAACAATCAGATAATGCTCAAAAAATAGTATTACCTCGGTCACAAAGAGCAATGCAGTAGATAGGATTCAATCTAAGATCTTGGGTAATACCCCTAGACTTTTACCAACTATGTCAGTTGGGATATATATACCATATATGTTTAAACCTATGCATGTATCCAATGACTAAATTGTACTATACTACTACATACATTATTTCCTCAAAATTGCAACATTTGATGCAAAGTACACAACTTTACAGTTTCTTACCTTTTAATCTCATCTCAGGAAAACCTAGAAATAAAATTACAAACTTCTATACATCAAAATCACAACAAAACAATCAATATCCTTCTACTACAAGGCAAGTTTGTAATTTTGGCATTCTCAAGTAAACAGACACGTAAATCCTGCTCGGAAATGATTCTTTTTCAACAAAAAAGAGCTAAAAAAAACTAAAAAGTACTTTACTTTTAAGCACTACATAAATCACAAGATACATCAACATTGTTCCCTAACACAAGATACATCAACATTGTTCCCTAAACACATTCAATTTTTCGATTATCTTACTTCATAATGATCATACAAAACAATAAATCACATTTCACATTTCACATTTCTGTCAAACTTTATCAGCTTCAGCAATTAATTTAACAACATGACAATGATCAAACTAAATTATTGCCAAAAATAGTGTCTTTATAATTATAAAAATTAAATTGACCTACTAATTAAGAATAGAAAGGAAATCGAAAGATAAACCTTTAGAATTCAGAACTTTTTCAGAACAAATTCGAAGATTCCTTTTAGACAAAGCTAGGGATTTATTAAACTCCATTCTAAATTTCTGCTCAGCACTCAGAACCCCAGAAGCATCGCTAGGGTTTCCGTCGCAGGAACCGCCATTATCGGTGATCGAAAGAGAAGAAGAGGAAACAGGAAGGGAAGTAACTGACTGCAAGTTGCTACTTCCGGCGACATTGTCGGTGGTTTTACGGCGTTTAGGGTTGGATTGGGGGAAGAAATCAATTAGGGTTTTGGAGGAGGAAGATGAAGGTGCCATGAAAATGGTGTTGTTGAGAAATTGGAGAGAGAAAAAATGGCGGGAAGAAGAGAGAGAAAATGAGGGTTTATGAATTGTTGCTGCTGCTAATGCTGTTGTTGTTGGGAGGTGAATTCCTGGAATTTTCATGGTTTTTGAATATGATGGGATGATATTATGGCGCTCATTTTTTGTGGGCTATCTTTTGGCGCTTAATATTTTTTTATTGGGGGTTCGAAGTCATGATATAGATGGAATTTGATCATAAATTAGTTTATGGATTAAACAATATTTTTAAATAATTGATTTTTTCACATAAATTAAATAATTATACAGCTCGTTTTGTGTGCGGCAGGCCACATTGTGTGGCCACTTAAACTTTTTGGTTGTTTGAACAAATGAAATAGTTAAAATTCAAACGCTAATTAAAAATAAAAAAAAAATCAACGTAAAGGTCTTTACCAAACAAGGCTGAAAACCAATAGAGGGATAAAAGCTACATATTGTAAGTTTCATGTACAATTTATGTAGATCATTGATGTAATTTAATTTTGTGAATGATGACGAATTGGATTTGGGCCAAGTGGCATTGAGATATAAATCTAATGAGAATGATAATTGAAAACATGCTTAAATAAGATGCTAAATCTAAAACTACTAAGTCCAAATATGATACAAGCTAGTGCAACCATACTCTTAAGACTCTTAACCCCCTTGAACATTCACGTGCAAGTTGTGTTTTGAAACAAATCAATGCATTAATCAAAAGTTATACGACATCTACAAATGAAATCTAAATCAACAAATACATAAGATTAAATCAAATAAAGGTTTCCTTCATCAAAACTATAATCGTTGAATAAATCTTGCACTGTGTACATCTCTCGCACACATCACTAGAATATATAACATTTTGAGAGAGACGGTCTAACGGTTTGTTGTAGCCGTAAGGATAATTTTCATCTATTTCACTCAAATGCCTTTGAAGATTTGATAACCTTTGCGATCCCGGACGACTATTTACCAACGAACTGATAATAGGGCAAAAGATGATTACCATTTTAATAAACCCTAACACACACAAAACCTTTAAAAAAAAAAAATTACGCAAAAACTAACGACTCCACCATGAGACGAACGAATTTTTACACTACTCATGTAGATTTATTGAAAATTAAATAGCAAAACCAAAGAAAATTAAGAGAAAAAAGTCATAAATAGTCTAATTTTCGAAAAAAATAGACTATTTTTGGCCTAAACGGCCAAAAAAATTGAAAAAAACCTTGAAGATGAGGAGGAGATTTGCTCATATAATTTGACTCAATTTGTACACTAATTCTTAAAAAAAAAATTAAAAAAAAAAATCATCAAATGAGAATTAACTTTGTTATTTTTAAATATGAAAAATTGTCAGGAATATTACGACCTTTCAGAGGTTTTTCATAAATATAACGACCTTTGGATTATCCCGCAATATTACGACCTTTGACCCTGATCTTCCATAAATAGGACGTAACCGGTTGGTGACTTGTTAAAAGGGTTAAGTGTGACACTGTCACTTTTTAATTGGCCAGATACTTTTTTGTTTAATTTTACAATTTTTTTATTTTAATAAATGATTTTAATATAAAATGTTGATTTGAATAATTAAAAGAAATAATTTTAATTTTAAAAAATTCCCTTAGCACCCCCTGCCCCCCATACCCCCGTGAAACACCCTACAACCACCACCCCTATGAAACCCACCAAGGCCGCGAGCCCCACCCACCCCCGTGAAACCCCCACCGTAATTCTCGCTTCTCCGTCCTCTATCCATTGATGCAAGCAAGTATATAGTGTTTGGGTCGAAAATGAAAGGGTTGGGTAGAATTTTAGATGAAGTGGTCGGAAGTCGATTTTAATGGCGGTGGGATTTAGGTGAAGTGGGCGGGTTTCCTGTTTAGGGGTTGGTCGGAATTTCAGAACCGATGAGAATATAAACTCAGGGATTCGAAAATGAAAGGGAAAAGGGGAGGGCTGCCAGAGTTCGAATTTGGGAGGGGAATGGGGTAGGGTGGTCGAAAAGGAGAGGGGAATGGGGTGATGTGGTCGGAAAAGGGAAGTGAAGGGCATACGGTGGTCGTCGGTCGTCGAGGCTAGTCGGAAGGGGAGGGGAAGGTGGTTGTCGGAAAACCCATTGTGCTGCTGGAATGGTTGGGGAAGAACAGGGTGGGTTTTACATTTTTCCTTCTTTTTTTTATTTGTATATTTTCTTAATTAAAAATCAGTTTCTTGAAAAAAAAATATAAAATCAAATTAAAATTTCTAACCTATCACAATACAACACGTGTCTTGGGTAACCTTTTAAAAAGTTTACCGGTTTTTTGTCCTATTTATGGAAGATCAGGGTCAAAGGTCATAATATTACGGGATAATCCAAAGTTCGTTATATTTATGGAAAACCGCTGAAAGGTCGTAATATTCCTGACAATTTTTCCTTTTAAATATGGAATTTTTATAATTATAGGAAAATTTGACAATTGTAGCCATTTAAAGTTTGTATTTTGCAAATTGCAGCCATTTAAAAAAAAATTACAACTTTCATCTCAAAAGTTCTTTTAAATTGTAAATTGCAGCCCGATCCAACTTTTTTATCGGTGTGTCTTAAAAAATATTCGGTTAAGGTTTTAGGGGCTATATTTAGCCCATAAGAACCCGAATTAAACACAGAATTAACAGAAAAATAACGCAAGTGCCTCGTTTTTCGTAACAAAACTGTATCGATTTATTGACAACTATTTTTTGTTGTAAAATGAGGCACTTACAATATTTTTTTTGCTAATTCCGAGCTCAATTCGGAACACAAAAAACTAAAAAGCTCCTAATACCTTTAAAAAAAAGTTAAATTGAGCTGCAATTTACAAATTATAAGAAGTTTTGGACTACAATTTGCAAATTTTTTTCAAACGGTTGCAATCTTGTAAATAATTATCTTTAAATGACTGCAATTTACCCATTTTCCTAATTACAAATAAACCTAAAGTTGAAATAAGATCATAATCCTTTAGGTAATCTTGATACGGAGTACTTTTTTTTTTTTTTTTAGGTAATCTTGATACTCGTATCAATTTAAATTGAAATATACGAATATTGCAATTTGAAATTTAAAAAAATGGTTGGAAATGCCATGACTCATGAACTCACGAAAGGGCTGTGATCTTCCTCAACAGTGAAGAAAACACCTAAAGATTCTACACATTTGACGGTTAAATCAGGTAAAACTAATTCTTCGTTATTGTAATTCTTGAATTTGATCAATGGTCATTTATTAATTTCTCCCTAATTGCCAATTGGGAAACAATTAGGGTTACTTTTGCAGAATTTCTATGACAAAGTTGGCCTCTTTTCCGATTTCTTATTAGGGCAATTGATCGTGTATTAGTCATTTTCTCTTTTAAATTTCAAATTTAGGCTTAAATTTCAGTTTTCTTGTAATTTTTATGTTGGTATTTCAATTGGGATTGATTTGATTCTTTTGTAGTTTCAGCTTTCTTGTAATTGGGATTGAATTATTAATTTTGTTCTGGCCTTTGTGAATCTTTAGTTTTGGATTTGCATAATCAAATGCTTTTATAAAATTCAGGAAATTTGCTTTGTTTTTGTATAGTTGTATTATGAAATAATTGTATTCAAAATCAGGATGTTTCAATGGGATATATCATGACTATATGTGGAATGTGAGAGAAATTTGATGAATGAAACTAGCAAGTTTATGAATTGTCTTGATAGGATTCTTGAAGCTCTTATGACTTTTTTGCCTTAGGTTTCAGTGATCATTGGAAGGATTAATCAGTGGATTTTTGTGGGGATAATATACATCTGAAAAAATTACCTCTGCGCCTAATTGGGTTCATGGGTACATAGTATATATGAGCATTTTTTGTATTAAAAAAATAGTGCGCGTGGGGTTGGGGGTGGGGTGGGTGAGGTGATGTGAGGTGGGTAGAGGATTAGATGGATGCATCAGTTCTAGATGTGTAAGGACCAGGTTTCCGTTTGAAGACAAATGGATAATTGTTCATGTAATAATAGCTACTAACTGATCTTAGGCAAAGCCTCATTTAACGTCTTTATAAAAGATTAAAGAATGCGTTTACTTTACCTACTCCTGTCAAAGAGGGAAAAAACTTTGCTAAGTGTATTTTAATCTATTTGGAATTCTCTGTTAAGTCAATTGTAAAATTGCAATCCCATTAAGTTGGTTTAGTGTTTCATTTCTTGCCTGTGTAGAACTTTATTTCAGATTGAAAATTCTTCTTCAAACATGGATGGTGGAGGAAAACGACAGTTGCCATCATGGATGATGAGAACTACTGCTACTGAGCAAGCAAGTATTTCAGAGACAAACAAAGAAAACATAGAAGGTTCTGTAAAACTTCATACCCAAGCTGTCGAGCCCCAAAAGAAAATTAAGGCAAAAAAGAATGATGCTGGGGTCCCATTGATTGAGGATGAATTGAATTTGCTTAAAAAATGTGAAACAAGAACAAGAAAAAGAAAGTTAAACAAGCATGATGAAGGTCAAGAAGAAAAATTTCATGAAGATGAACCATGCTCGCTTAAACCATGTAGAGAAAGTAGAAGCAAAAGAATGCCAACTAAGCATAGTGAAGATCGAGTTAATGACTTTCTTGAAAGTGATATAGAGAAAAAAGTTGATGGTGAAGTGAGAAAAAGAGCTCGAGAAAATGATCCCAGGAAGAAGCGCTTAAAAAATTCGACGGAAGAAGGTCAAAATGGAACAGCAGAATCTAGTTCAAGTGAAGATGAGCTTACGGTGGAAGATCTAGTAAGCATTGCTGAAGAGGTATTGCCCCCTTAAGATTTTGTACCATATATAATTATACAACTTATACTAGATGTCACCTGTTAGTATACTAAAATCTACATTAATCATCGATCAATACTTTGAACAACACTGGAATAGTTCTTATTAATTATTTATTTACAATAAGAAACGCTTTCAGCTTGGGCAGTTACTTGGTTGCTTACATTTGATTCTCTCCTCCCTCTTTTTCTCTCTCTGGTGCGGTCAAGATCTTGGAGATTTGTAATATGCTCTTGTGGTTCACTTCTTATTATATTAGATTTGTGCTTATTATTTCATCGTGTATTTGCAGTATTTAAAGGCTGATAAGATGGAGTGTCATAAGTCAAAAAAGATGGAATTTGCACCAGAGACCAAACCTCAAATTACATCTGGTTCTGAGATAGTTTTGGAGAAGAATTATCTCACGTCGAACACAGAAGTTAAGATGGTTACCGATCAGCCACTTTCTTCAGGCTCTTCTGTGACCAAGCCTTTATCCAGTGAAGGAAGCTTTCTTAATCCGAGTACCACTCGCGAACCTGGCCAAGACATGCTTGATTTGTTATTGGGTCCCTTGCTAAGGAAGGCAGGAGAAGTGGAGAAGAAGACTGATGCTATAACTGATAAAAACACGCTTGATTATGAGCTCAGCAAAATAAGAAGTCAAAATGACACTGTAGCAGAAGTGGCCCCTGTGATGAAGAAGAAGTTTAGTCTTAAAGAGAGAGCAGGAAGACTCTGGGATTGAATAGCTGAGCTTGCTGAGTGTGAAATAGTACTGATTATTCACTCTAAAGAAATTCATCATCAATGAGGTCTGCTGCTATCTTTTTCACATTTTTGTTTTCTAACCTGTCTTTGTTTCTCTATTATTCTGCCAGGAAGTCTGTAACTGAGGTCCCTTCTGGTGCTTCATAGTTGTGATATTTCTAACTAGATTTCACACAAGATAGTCTAAGAAAGTTACTGAGTCAAGAATGTCTTGTTTGATTCTATAAATGTATATGTATTTTACTTAGTAGCTGTTGCAGTTCTTATTCTGGGGTTTCTTGAAAAACAGCTGAGTGGTTGGAACCTCTCATTTAGAAAATCAGACTCTGCTATTCCTGGTTGGGAATTTTGTTGGGAAAGGAACGATTAATTTGTTAGATGTTTAGACTCTACAGATCGCTTGATTGCATCTCTATAGTTGTGCTAGTGTACTTGAATGACTGGTTAGGTAATTTGAACATGATTTAGTGTGATATATGGCGCCTCTTGAAAAAACTTGTGGACTAGAATTTGCATCCACGAGAATTGACTATTGTGGTATTTGAGCAATCCATAAAAGATTCTGTATGTATTTAGCACTCTGGATTTGCATGTTTTACATGACTCTTGGGATGTACATTTTGGCCAGCAGCCCAGCTGAGGACACACACACACACACACACACACACACACACACACATATATATATATATATATGTATATATTTTATGTTGAGTTCAATGCAAATCCTGTTTATGGAAATTTCAATTCATGAGCCAATGGATAAAGGATCTGGCATGTACATCTTTTGGTTCATGGATTTCCTTTTGGTGGTTTTTGAACATTTTATTTAGAGGTAGATGATATCAATACATGCATAAATTCTGCTTGAGTATTAAGAAGCTTAGATCACACTATTCTCTCCCAAGGAAGTAACAAGAGTACAATGAAGGCAATGAATTGATGAGGTCGTAAAGGCTCACCATTAGGACCGGCATCATTTGTTAAATATTAAATCTATACCAGTTGTATGGTTGGATGTTCTTTTGTCCATGTATTTTGTCTTTCATGTTCAATTCTATTAACTCGGTGGTTTTGGATGTCTTCTTGCTCATGCCTTATTTTTCTATGTTTTGTGTTCTGCAGGATTCGAGCTACAGTTTTGGCGTTCATTCATCACTTGCTTATACCAAAGGTATCTTCAATTATTTTTGCGGTGTTTAACATATGTTAGGATCTTGAAATGGTATATATAATGCTCCATTAGTGATATATTATTGAGATTGTCAATGTGGATGACCTTTTATTGAGATCCTTCTGTTGGCTGTTCTGTCACGTAAGTTTCATATCCTTCATATCCATAATTACCATAATTTATACCCTTGTGACTGTTTGATAAAGCGTGTCTTTTTAATTAAAATATGGCCAGAGTTAATGTTTAAGTTGTGGATTTTTGCAGTTCATGTGCTAATTTTCCATCCACGCGTTCGTGATTGACTTTGCTACTGCAAATTCTCAAGACAAGAAGAGTAATTGAGAAAGGCGATGATTAATCTTGGTCTGTGCTACACAGTCTATGAAAAATGGATGAATATTGTCAATTGCAACTTGCAAGCAGTCTAGTGTGGGTTGCAGCACTATAGGAAATACAAAAGAAACTGGAAAAGCAGCTGGTAATCCTTTTTTACAATGATATATGAAGATTGGTACTCATATATACTCTTAGAATTTTATTTAATTTTGCTATTACTTCTTTATATAATGTAACTTCTCATATGCTCTTCTTGCATTTCAATTTCAATATCCACTCAAATTTTGTATGGTTGTTACTGTTTATTCACTGAACAGATTTGACAAGATCCTAAGTTAGAAATTAATCGGTTTTTATGATCCTACTATTAGGTCTGCAGTAGAAAGCTCCCCCCTGAAGATCAAAGCTTTATGTCATGGAACCTGGATACTGTCAAGCTGTCAACCAGGGTGTTTCACTCCCTCTCTGTTAGTTCGAGTGAGATCCTGTAAAAGTGAGGAAGAGACATCTGCTTTTTTTTAGAGCAGGAAGAGACATCTGTTTAGCAAACCTGAAGTTGTCGTCTTGTTGACTGTAGCTATTTTTGAATTTGTATTCATGTCTGTACAGTGTTGTAGGGAATGTATATTTATTAGCCTCGCGGCTACCTCATTATGCAACTTTACTGCTTTAGAATGCAGAACAAGAATTGTAATAACACTCTCTTGGAATTTCTGCTCATAATACATCTGTGTACTATGTTGTTTGTACTGTATTAGCAATACGCAGAAAATTGATGTCAAATTGCCAACCAGAGACCATTGTAGAATCGCAGATTTTTAGGGCTTGTTCTCTTCAGCTTATTTTCAGTTCAGTTTTTAATTTCCTTCTATCATAAATTATTCAGTTCAGTAAATCAGAACAGGTCCTTAGTCTCTAAGAGCACATTTTGAGGATGATTGTTTCAACTTTCAAGTGGATCCATCAAGGTTAATTTTGTAGAGTCAGATGGTGAAAACTTTCGAGAGACGTGTAGGCGCAGGTGCTTGGTAATTAGCTTGTTACAGACTCACAAGTTACAGCTGTAGTACCAACAATAGTGCTCAATTGTAGTAAAAATGACAAAGAAAATTGGATTTCATCTAAAAATTCAATCTACACTAATATTATGACTTCTTTTCTTTGAGATTAAATATCTAAGAAACAGAAGAAACATACTATAAGTATTTTTTACAAGATTTTTTTTTTTTTTTTTTTTTTTTGTTTGATAAGAAAGAACCATTTAATTCGACAATAAATTTTGCCCACATAAAAATTGAATAAAAATATTTAACACAGAAATTGTTGCCACAAATTATGGAAACTGTTATGATTTATTGACTCCCAAAAAAAAGAAAAAAGAAAAAAAAAACATTAAACTCATGGAATGAAGGAATTTTGATATTTGAATAGAAAATCAGAATAACAAAAATGATTCTTGCCGTGTTAATCACAAACCCTCAAGCCAACATCTTAGTTGAAATGTACTCTCTTTTACCTCCCCCTCTTAAAATTAATGTATTTAATTCAAATTTGTATTTTTTTCATACAATTTGTCTGCATAACTAATTGCATCAAGGCATATGTAAAGCCCTGTTTCATCCGGAATTATTTAATTGTCACGTTACTAAATCAAATTACGCTATCAATGACATTACATTACTAGCAACGAGAGTATTAATTCTGGATGAATGGAGTAATTAGTTATTTTAATATTTGAAATGCTAATTTACGCAAGAATATCTGTATTGGTAGATTCAATGGGGTGCCATCAGAGGAGCGGTTGCATTGGCGTTCTTTCTTAACCAAGCTTGGCCAAACTAACCTTAAGGGTGCCAAACATGAAGAACATTTCATTGCACACCACAAGTTTGTATTTTCGACATTGCTCGTAAATTGTTAACAGTTATTAACTGTCTTTGTTCTCATGATGGAATGATCTTAAGTAGTTGTTTAAGAGTCCTGTCTTTCATGTTTTAGTTTTCGATTTTGACTTACGATCACTTGAGCACTTGTTGTAATCATTCATATCTTTCTGCCTATTTTCAGATCAGTGTATATTGTTTATACATTGTTCGGAGATGTGAGCATCTACGCTGTTGGCAAGGACGAATATGATGAACTTACACGTAAGCATTCACCACGCCAAGCTTCCTACTGTCTTTGTGATATATACATGTATGTGGTTAGAGATTACAATCAACCTGCATTCATTCTAAAAGCTAACTCTCTATTTCTCTGAAGTGTCCGAAGTTATCCGTGCTATTACAACATCTATCAAGGATGCCTGTGGAAAACCTCCATCTGAGAGCCGTTTTTTGGACAAGTATGGAAGAATATGTTTGTACCTTGACGAGATCTTCTGGAAGGTAGTATTCATGTGTTTCCTTTGAAGCAAACTTAACTTTTATTTTCCTTTCACTTAGTTCGCAAGCCAATGCAATCGGACACTAGTATGGTGTTATGTGTGTGTGTTTGGCTCTTTCCTTAATGTTGCTGTAAGATTTGGGTTCAGACGGGTTCAAAATGGAATTCATACTCTTTACTATTGTCAGCAAGTAATTTGCCTTATCTTTTTTCAGGGAGTGTTGGAAAATAATGATAACGACAGAATAAAGAGGCTAGCCAGGCTGAAGCCTCCCACAGAACTATGAATACAGAAGGAAAGAAAAGCTTAGTCGGATTCTGCAGTTCTTTTTTTCTTTTGCCATCTGAACTCTACACAATAGTGGACAGATAAATCAGAGGGGGTGTGCTTTTCTGTTGTTTTCAATACAGTTTTATTGCTAGTCTATTTGATACAGTTTAGCTACAAGTCTAAAATTACGTCTCTGTCATTACTGCTAGAATTTCCCGAATCCCTGTAAACACGCTGTCTTAATATGTGGCATGTATATGCTGAAAAATATTCATCTTAGGGCTTAGGAGGCGATCATTAGACTAAAATTGCAAAGCTAATTAATATAGCAGAAGCACATATATACTACAGCAATAATTGCTTTAGTGCTTCATAGTTCATGCAGGGTATTGAATCAATTTTATGCAGTCTTACTGAAATTAGTTTATGAAAGAAGCTACAATACGCGTATAGCTTAAAGGCGCACACTTTGTATGACAAAGCCATAATTTACTGTAAATATGTTTTAACATACATGAAAAATGCACTCTGGCAAACAATTACAACAAAAACCAACAAGGAAGAAATCCTGTTCTGGAAATCAATTCTAAAAAATCATGAATAGAAAAATCATATCTAAAAGTTGGAATGCATCAAAAAGAAGTAAAAAAAAAAGTGGTATGACATAGTATGATATTTCACCAGAAAAGCTCACAAGATAGTAAGATATATAGCTTCAATGTTCTATACCTGGCAATCAAGAACATCTTTTTCTGTTTTTCTCTTGATTTGATTTAGCTATTCCGATCCTGCTTCCAAACACCGCCTCTGAAACCAACTCCCTCTATTGGGAAAGATGTCAATTCGGGAGACCAACAAGCATGCACGGTGCTCAAGGATGGCATCACTCTCTGAATCATCTCCCACTTCAAATTCAAATGAGAGAGTGAATCCAACTTCAAGCCCTTGATTTTCCAAGTAGTCTCATCATTTCCCCAGAAACTTTTGTTCAACTGTGCTAGGTTCCCTCCACACATGGAAAGATACCGTAACATAGGCAGAGAAGCCGGGTTAAGCCAACGTGGGCTGATTTTTCCTGGGTATAATTTAAGAGACAGCTCATGTAGCTGCATTGGTGGGCAAATTTTCTCAAGTTTTGATATGACTTTATCACTCTCAAAACTGTTGAAACAACTTATTGTCAAAATCTGCATCTCTTTTAAGCCATTCAAGGCATCAGTCTCACCGTCATCAATTTCATCAGCTCGAGTCAGTTGCAGTTCCAGTATCCTTAGCTGACTTAAGCTTCTTAACTCGGAGAATCTGGAACCTCCGCCTTCCACCTTAGCTGGCTTAAATCCTAACAGAACTTGAAGATTTGAAAGCTTCTCCAAGCCTCTTGGCAGAAATTCTAGGGACCCACAATGACTTACATCCAGCACCAGTAAGTTCTCGAAAGTCATGACAAAAGGAGGCAGAGATCTTAGACTTTGACAGTAACTTAAATCCAATATCTGAAGGTTATGGAGTTTCTCTAATGTTAGAGGAACTTGAGTCAATGGGTGGGTATTGTTTAAGTTAAAGCATGTCAAGTGCTTTAGATTTCCAATCTTGTCAAGTAGGGAAGCAAGAGACACTCCAAAGATAGATTTTGACAGATCCAACACTCGCAGATACTTAAAATCACAGAACTTGCTCCCAACACATGAAGCAATTTTGTTCACTTCACCACTTTTGGAGGTGGATATTAATGCCCGCAATTTTTTGCTCGTTACCATTTCCTTTTCCTTAATGTCAGTGGTAAGTCCCAGATGGCGGCGATGAGCAGCACTTAATCCTGAAAAAGATTCATCATTAGCAATCTGGATTACCAGATCTCGGACCATATCATGAACTTTACATGTGGATATCTTCCCATTGTATTCCCACTCAACTACTTCAACCAAGCATCTATTTGTTAAGCCAGAGAAGCAATCTTCACTAGCTTCAGTCGCTAGCCTACCATTTCTCACAGGCACAAAACCCTCACCAATCCACCATCGGACTAACTGATCTTTACTTATTTCACAGTCCTCAGGATATATGGACAGGGAGAGTAGGCAGGACTTCAAGTAAGATGGGAGCTCATCATAGCTACATTGCAACGAAGCCATAACAGAGTTGTCTTCAAGATCAGTCAATTCCTCCCGGAAGTGATCAGCAATCCTCCTCCACTCACGATAGTATGGTGGCTTACAAAGCATCATTCCTCCAACTGCCTTGATTGCTAGTGGAAGGCCTTTGCATTTAGAAACAATCTCCTTTCCAACACATTCAAGCTCAGTCGACGTACAAGTACCATAATGTTCTGCAAATGCCACATTGCAGAAGAGTGACCAGCTGTGGCCCTCGCTGAGGACTTTGGGTTGATGGATTCTTGCTTCCTGCACTCCCATTTTTCTTGCAACATTCTCGATTCTAGTAGTCACAATAATACAGCCCCCAATTCCTTTTGGCAACCCTGCAAAAATCCTCGTCCACCATGAAGTATCCTCACTCCAAACATCATCCAACACAATCAAAAACCTTTTGCCTAAAAGGTATTGGTTAATCCTCTTTAGTAAGTCACCTCGATCATCCCCAACATTAACATCACCGAGGTTTCTCAAGATGCTCCTCATGATCTGGTCTTCAGAAAACTTCTGTGATACAGAGACCCAAATTCTCTTCTCAAAATGAAGTTCAACTTCTTTCTCATTAAATACTGTCTGAGCAACAGTGGTTTTCCCCAATCCCCCCATACCTACAACTCCAATGGATAGTATGCCACTGTTATCGACCTGAAATAACCAATCTTTGAGTTTTTTTGTATCACCTTCTAATCCAACCACCTGAGTATGATCATAAATGGGAGAACTCCATCTCGGTGGTCCATCTTCTTGTGCATTACCATGAATAGACTGAGAAAGCGGCCCCAAAAAAGTTAAGATATTATTTCTGATGCTAGTAATTTTTTCACTAATTTCCCCCAGCCTCTTTCCCATTTGGTATTTTGATGGAACCTTTATTGGGGAAAATCCATGAAGAAGTTTTCCTGAGCTATCTGACAAAAGCTGGCATTCTGCAAGTATGTCTTCAACTTCGTAGACCAGCTCTCGCAAATCAGCTAGAGTGCATTTCAGAACCTCGTCTTTTCTTTTGAGCCTCTCTGCATCCTTGAAGAAGCTTTTCATGTATTGGAGATCAGTTTGCACCTTCTGAAACTGATCCCTGTAACCAAGTAGAACATTACCTTCCTTGACAAGGACTTTGAAGAGTCTTTCCAAACATACACTGACAACTGCATCCACCATATTTCACTTCTCTCCTGAATAAAAAAACAATGACATCTGAGATTTGCGAGTCACAAAGCAAAAAGAGAAAAGTTGACATTAAAGAGCATTCAACAACTTAACAATATACGAATTCCAATTGATCATGTGACCTTTATGCAAAGATGGAAAAAAAGAGCCCCGGAAAAGGGAAAGAAAAGAAAAGCATGCACTTCAATGTTCCCTTTTGCAGATTATGTTACTTGGACTCGGGTACTAGTATAAGACACGGATATGTTACAAGTTGCAAAAATTATCATGCACCCGTGTGTACATTTTTTCTTGTTCAATTGCTCGCTAGGAGGCTAGGAGCTATACAGTTATACACTTATTTGGACTCGGGTACTAGTATAAGCAGGGGCGGACCCACCTTTAGTCATAGTGGGTCCGGTGACACAGTATTTTTTTTAAAAAATAAAATATCAAAGAGACCACTTATTATAGATAGGGGGTCTCTTTGATGCTGCTAGTGGTAACAACAAACAATATCAAAGAGACCTCTTATTAGGATAGGAGATCTCTTTGATGCTGCTATTGCTACAAAAGACTTGGTGTGTTTTTTTTTATATATTAAAGAGACCTGTTATTTATATAAGAGGTCTCTTTGATGCTGCTATTGCATTTCACAATTTTTTTGCGTTACTTTCTTTTTCATTAAAGAGACCAGTTATATTTAATAACTGGTCTTTTAAGTTATCTCACTTTTTTTTGTATAATTTTTTAATAATTTTTTTTCCCTTTTTATATCTTATATTTGTACAACCAATTTTAATATTTCCCCATAAAGCTTATCAATTAACTAAAAAATCATAAAGTTAATTCAATATAATAATTTTATTGTACCATTGGTTTATAACATGTTATTTGTAGTATTTTCGACTTGTAAAATTGAATTCTTAAGTACTGTATTTGGTTGTGATATGAATTTTTGTGTCCTATTTCTGGATTGAAATCAATTTGGTATATGTATATATACATATATATATATTTTATATATATAAGTTTTGGATTGAAATTAATTATGAACAAGACATGGAAAAAAAAATTGTACTTTCACAAATGATCAATAATTGATGGTGACACACTATCTCGGAAATCCTGGATCCGCCACTGAGTATAAGAGATGGGTATGTTGCAAAATCTATCATGCACCCGTGTCTACTTTTTATTATTGCTCAATGTATGACCTTCGGGTGTACAAAATGAGGCTATGTGGGTTTATGTCCAAGTGTCAAACTCGATTACTTTTGGGGGAAAATACCTATGTTTAAAGACTAATGTGTAAGTGCTCAACTAACTATCCATACCCATGTCGGAGTGTCGAAGATCCGGCAAGAATCTAAGTAACATAGCCCAACATATGTGCAATTGGTAAGAAACATCACAATTATACCCACACAGAGAGGAAAGCAGAAAAATACAGAACATATCCATGAATCCATGATAAATTAATAATCAATACTTGTAATTCTAAACATTTAAAGTTTAGATTGAAATGGGATTTGATCAATTTCTCTTAATTCTTCAGCAATTTTAACTAACGTGATACAATATAGCAATTAAATAAGAAGGATGAATTAGATTAGTATAAAATCAGCAAAACAAGATTTTTTTTCTGCTAAATTGACAACCATCTAACTTAACAATAAAACCCATTAATGTGCTGCAAAAATTAAAATAAATAAACAGTTAATGATGAGAGAGAGAAAGAGCTTACAGTAAAGAGGAGAGCTTGCAGATAGATGATGAATTTGAAGATGATGGTGAGTTGAAATGGTATAGTGAATGAGTTTATAATTGATAAAGGTGGGTCATTGCTCATTGACTTGGACATTTCAATGCGTTGACTGATGCACTAATACCATTTAATCAACAATTCAT